ATACCCAAAGGAAAAGAGGACCCAAACTCTCCTTCATCTTTCCGGCCACACAGCATGCTGAACACAGCAAGCAAGATGATGGAGAGTCTGCTCAAAATACGCTTGATGTCAGCCATAGAACACGAGGGAGGCGTTTCACTCCGACAACTAGACTTCAGGAAGGGACGCTCAACAATAGGAGCAATTAGCTTAGCAGTTAGTTGAGGCGGTACATAAAGCCGAAGAAGCCTGCCACAAGGCGCGGTCAATAGTGCTGCTAGTACTGTACGTTAAGAACGCCTTCAACGCGGCAATATGGGACGACATGCTGGAGGCCTTGGAACGATCATACAAAGATTCAACATACTTGCTAGATATTATTCGGGGCTACCTCAGAGACCGTTGCCTTTTGTACGACACAACACAAGGTCAGAGAAAGAGACGTATAACTGGCGGAGCGGCACAGGGTCTGTACTGTACTGACCTCTGGAATGCCACGTATGACAGTCTGCTGCGCACGGAAATGCCGGAGAACGCCTCCCTTTCCGCCTTCGCGGACGACGTGGCCGCCATCATAGCAGCAAGAAACATACAGCTAACGTAGCCCAAACTGAACCAGGTAATGCGCAGCGTCAGTGAATGGATGAGCGATCAGGGTCTGTAATTGGCTACAGCCAAAACAGAGATCGTGCTCCTTACCAAGAAACGGATCCCAACAATTACAAACATGATGATCGGAACACAGCCCGTGACAACTTCTAGGTTTAAAAAATACCTAGGGGTGAAGCTTGACAACAAACTCAAGCTTTGGGAACACATTCATGGAGTATGTGAAAAAACTGCGCTGAGCACGGTGGCGCTAAGCCGGCTGATGGCGAACGTGGGTGGCCCGAAGCCATGCCTTAGGAAACTGTTGAAGACAGCAGTCCAGTCGATGCTGCTGTATGGGGCAGAAATATGGGTCGACGCATTGAAAGTAAAAAAAAATACCGGATTCAAATGTCCTCGGTCCAGCGCCGAGGGGCACTACGCATTGCTTCTGCATACCGTTCTTGTTATTTCTGGCGTCATACCAATTGAGATACTTGCTTACGAGCGAAAAGAGATTTACAATCTCAGTGCGGAGATAGGTCGATCAGCTTTCGTGGCAAGGGTACGCAAACAACTAATCCAGCTGTGGCAACAAAACTGGAACGCAAGCACAAAAGGTCGATGGACGTACACCCTGATAGCCAACCTTCAAAAATGGTTGAAAATACCGCACGGTTCAAGGTTACTTCCGATAATAGCTTCATGGAATGGGTAGGGTAGACTCACCGTTCGGTAATCCGCTGCCATCGAGAAGACGAATGTCCACTGAGGACACCCGAATGAAACGCCCCTACAAAAGAGCAGCCTTGAGGCTCTAGTAGCGCGCTCCTGCATCTGAAGACATACAGAATTGCGATATTGTGATGGTAATAGTAAATTTTGTAGTAAAATAAATGGTGATGGTAATGATAATGGTAATAGACCAACGGGTCAAAATTGGATGGTAGGATTGAAAAATATCTGTTCTGTCAGAATGCATATGTAAACTATGAAGATGTTTTCGTGCCTGGTTCCAACAAAAAAAAATGTACGTGTTTACCTCCGTTTAGCGAATTTCCACTCTCGTGGAGGGTATTAACTGGCTGCTTACTTTTGAAAGGTCACAATTTATTCTGAGAGCCAATCGTCTATCATGGTTATGGGTTGCATTAGTTGAGACGAGCCGATCGTTCTTTTGGTGGTGAAAGAGGTTTTTTTGTGACCAATTGTCCGGAATTGTTTTACCAATATTAAAGTTGTTTTAACCATGACTCGCGTCTTATAAAAAACTCCTACAGAAGTCACTGCAGGGCTGACTGTGAAGCGTCGTCCACAGCATGCGGCGTGTTCTTTACGATTTGCTTACCCTTCCCTAGTTTTTATTTAGCGTTTCAAATGCTCTTGAGTGGTATCTCAACAAACGTTTTTTTTTTGGCTGGCAAAGCCGCATGCGATCTGGCCTAACCTAACCTCTGTTCAACACTTACTGATCTGGAACTTGAAAAAACCCTTGCAGCTTAATTAAACGTTGGTAATTGTCTTCCGAAAAGATTTGTGCGTTTGTCTTTATCTCAAAACCTGGCAATCAAGCACTCCCCGATGGCGGCATTCAACTATTGCGTGCCAATCGGCTTTGCATTTACCCCTCGGACTGGCTCAGCTGCTTTTCGCTTAACGCTAATCCAGCGAACCACACTGCGGTTTTTCGGGATATCAATAAATGACAGTTTACGATGAAGCTGTGGCAGTGGTCGCGGCAGCAGCACATAATTTAAATTAATCCTTAATTACGTAGACAACATCCTGCTGCTACTTGCCGCCGATTGCTTGACTCCCGTTGGCTGATGTTGGCTTAACGAACTTATCAAAATCAGTGAAGGATGAGAAGCGGCAAGCTGGAAAGGAAGGCCGAGCATAGAGGAAAATATGTAAGCTAAGGTGGTTCAAAAAAAAGTAAAGTCGTAATTTTAACGCCACCATCCCCTATTTTCTATATCGAAAAAAATATACCGCTATTTTTATTTTATTTTTTTGAAATCTTAAAATATTTGGAGAGTGCTCAAAGCGCTCAAAGTTTTCCATGTATTTTACATAGGGGAAAAACAACTTTTCGTGGAAACAGTATAGAAATCTTGAAAATCAATATTTTTCGATCGGAAAACTCTTCAGGAGACTTAATAATAATATCCAATTGCTTATTGAACCCTTTTTTCATGGAAACTATATTTTGTAGGTCCGTCAAAACTAATAAACAATTTTTAGTATGAAAAAATTATTAAAGAGACAACTGGATACTATAATTGGAAGTCGCCTGAAGAGAAACAGGTCTTTTCGTTCGAAAAATATTGATTTTCAAGAATTCTATACCATTTCCACGAAAAGTTGTTTTTTCCCCCTTATAAGATACATGGCAAACTTTGAGCGCTTTAAGCACTCACCAAATATTTTTCGATTTCAAAAATAAAAAGAAATAGGGGCATAATTTTTTCGATATAGAACAATGCTAGGGTGTGGTGGCACTAAAATTCCGACTTTACTTTTTTTTTGGACCACCCTAATATACGCGTACATATACCTATAAATGAGCTGTACTCCTATGCGTTGCGTAAACCGCCTTAACCGCATTTAGTTAAGCCATGCCACTTGAAATTGAAACATCGTGGCTTTGCGTAGCTGTTGCCGTTGTTGTTGTTCTTCTTCTTCTTGCTGCTGTCGCATGCGTTCTACGCTTGAGCGCACCAAATGCCAAACACTGTGTGGTGCCGTCATTTAAACTCAATTAATTTATAGATTTACATACATTCATGTACTATATATTATTTTATTTTCTGCCGACAAGAGAAGCGAGCGCGCAACTATATACAACTACAACTATTGCTGGCGCTTTTGGCGTTATGCGCGTTGCACGTTGCGCGTATTAAAATGTCAGAACAATGTGCTGCATGCCACAAATTTTACGATGACGACAACGACCGTGCTGCACTCAATAACAACCGTTGACTTTAAGAGTTCGATAAAGATTTTTAAACCAACATAATTTTTGTTGTTATTGCCGCTATGTTATAGAGTAGCTAGCTGTTCATTAATACTAACTATGGCTACCTCTTCTAGCGCCGATGCGATACTACTCCTTAGCATGGCCAAAGGTAGACTCCGCCACAGCTACCAAAGCAATCAACAATAAAAAATTAAATGGGCGGGTGCGGCCCGGCGGCGGCTAGCCATTTTGCAATTGCTACTGTGCGCATATTTCATAGCCATGGCTATGATGAAGGCGGCAGTGGCCGAGGCGGCTATGGCGGCGACGCCGGTTGCTTATCAACGGCCACCAATCAGCCGAACATTTGCATTTACTTTCGTATTTTTTTTTGTGCATGCATGGCAACGCGCACGCCGCTTCCATGAAGGAGATAATACAAATTTGCTCAAGCGGCAGACGACTACGGGGCTTTGTGGGTAAATTTTAATTAACGCACAGATTTTATTTCAACAACTCTCTCCGCCCATTTTGAGGTCGATTTTTTTTAATCTAGGCATGTGTGTACATAAAAGATTTCAACCTTTCAAGCGCTTATTTTACATGTAAATATACCTGTATGTACTATGTACATACTTTCAGATACATTCATATATTAGCCGTACATATTTTACTCCCCTTCGTTTAAGCTCGCTTTAAAAAATGCTTTTTTTTTCTCTCACCCTCTTTTCAGACTGAAAACCGATAATAACGGCGGCGCTTGGTGCCCCAAACACATGGTCTCAAATGCGTTGAAGGAATATCTGCAGGTGGATCTGCTGCAAACGCACGTCATTACGGCGATACGTACGCAGGGTCGCTATGGCAAGGGTCAAGGTCAAGAATATACAGAAGCGTATGTGCTGGAGTATTGGCGACCGGGTTTCACCAAATGGCTACGTTGGAAAAATACACAGGGAAAAGAGGTGAGTGAATGCGTGGATGGAATGGAATCAGAAACGAAGTTTTTGAGTGATTTAATTTTAAAGTGGAAATGCTTAAGAGTGCTACGTACATACATATGTGAAGTGATATATTGGTGTTCACTTTGGGATGCTTAAAACGAACCTTGGAATGCGTCCGGGAACTCAGTTTTGTTCAATTCCTCTTGTTTTCCTGATAAGAATGGTGTAAACTTAAAAATCCCATTGCCTTGTTTTGTTGTGTAGAAGCTCTGGTTCCAGACAGAAACTTCGCCATGAAAATCTCAAGCAGGGGGCCCGGGTAGACAACTACTATCCTCCACCTGGTAATATAGTAATTTTTACAGATGTTTATAAAATGAACGACGTAGGGGGAGGGGTCTTCTCTCTCGCAACCCTACCCTGAGTCGTTAGTTTCTACTACCGGATCATCGTAGTATCTACCAGGCTAAGGACTCAGCTATAATGGAGGGTAAATATAAGCGAACTGCGAACTGATTTAAAAGGTAAACAGGTGTTTTTCATTAGTGAAAGCCAATCATAAATCAATGCTGTGAATATTGAAAAATTTTACCTCTACCCTCTTACAAAATGGCCTCGGCCTTATAAATATCTGGTCTAAGGAATGTGAACTCAGCGTCAATTCTACGAAGGCCGGATAATACTCTTAACCAAGAAATAAAAATGTTATTTATTTTAAGTAGAATAATTAAGGTCAGTTTGGGTTTATTCTATACAGGAAACTCGACTGCAAGCGAAACATCGAAGACAGCTCCAAGAAAGCCATTACCGCGCTGTACGCCTGTAAGGTATAAGCAAAAAATGGGAGAAAAGCCATAGCTTGTATAAGACCCATACTCTACTACGGGGTCACTGCCTGGTTGCCGACGATAAACATGACCCTATCCAGAGCCAATATGAAACCAGTATCTACAGTGGACGGCTTCCATGCTTGTCCACTGCTGAAAACCCTCAGTTTTCGCTTACCGGGCCACAGTAACGTTTTTCAATCAGAACTTGAGGTGCATAATGCAGGCCGCTGGTTAAGTCATACCTCCACCCCTCAAAAGCAGGCTATACTTATATATTCTGACAGCCACCAGAACAACGCCGAAAGTAGCCTTAGAATGCAGGGACATTCTTGGCAACTAGTATGGCCGACAAGTTGACAAGTTGACAAGGTAAAACACGGAACAGAGCAGTGCTGAATTCTACTCAAGACGCTGGTATACCGCTAACTTCCTACAAAGACAGATTAAAGACTAAACTCATAGAACCCACTTGCCAGACTATCAGATCAATTTGGCCGCATGTTGATGTAAAGCGATCGTACTCGGCTTAACCGTTGTTCCTTCATTTCCTGGCGTTTAGTTCTGCCTTTAGCTTTTTAATCAGGGTATTAACGAACAGTGTCTTAAAGGGCTCGCATGGTAAGAGGTTAGTCTATACAAACAACAATTTTTTCGCAGCTGCAGCGGCGGGGAAGAAGGAAAATCATCGAAATTANCTCGGCCACTATCCTATCCTGGCAAAGATGCGCAGCCAATAGTTTAGCAAGTACTTTTTAAGTTTTTAAGCGACTTGAGCTCTGTGAAAATTCTAAATTTTTTGTGCTACATAAAGCTCGCTCAGTAGATTAAATTTCCATGGAATGAAGGAAATAAATGGCTGCCGCTTTAACCTAACTTCGAAGATTTTTTCTTGAGAATGTCATCTCTGTTGCGCTAGGATATTCCAATCATGGGCTGATTTCCTCCGCCAGCCTAGCAGGTGCCTAAGGACTCCACAACCAATTGTTAATACTTAGTAATTAAAAAAAAAAAAAGAATTAAAAACAATATTTTAAAACAACCTGAAATAATATTATGAATCTTTTTCCGTTTTTCAACAGATTCTGCCTGGCAACATCAACACGTACAGTGAAGTGGAAAACCTATTGCAACCAATAATATTTGCATCGAAAATACGCATATATCCATATGGACAATACGATCGGACGGTGTGTTTGCGCGCCGAAATTGTCGGTTGTCCGTGGGAAGGTGAGTAGCGACGGAAATAATCATTTACATTTTTATAGCTTTTTAAACAAAAAATTTACTTTCAACGTTCACTTCGATTTTATGCCCCTAAAGAAAATACATCACTTAAAATTAAATAATTTCCTCCTCTATATTATTGTCCACCACTCTGCGACCAATGCGTCGTAATGGCGCCAATAATGCGAATTCGAGACATTAAACGCTATCAGCGGTGCCCCTTTCGTGTACTTAATAAAATTGTAATTTAAGTCGTTAAGGGGCAGTAAAACAAACAGTAAAGGCAGCGAAGTCAACAAAGGCAAAGGTTAGCTGATTGGATTGTGCCGCAATGGTAGCGAAATATACTCTTTGTATGTGCATTAGGGTGGCAAAAAAAAAAGTAATGAGGATTGTTTTACGTCGGAAAAAATATACCCCTGTTTTTTTATATTGAAATCAAAAAAATATTTGGAGGTCGCTCAAAGCGCTCAAAGTTTGCCGCGTATTTTATATGGGGAAAACCACTTTTCTTCGAAGTGGTATGGAATTCTTGAAAATCAATATTTTTCGATCGGAAAACTCTGGTTCTCTTCAGAAGACTTCCAATAATAATACCAAATTGTTTATTTAACCATTCTTTAATACGAACGATTTTTTTATTGGTGCCGCCCCCCATTGCATTTTTGGGGGATTTTGACGCACCTAAGAATTATAGTTACTATGAAAAAAATGGTTAAATAAATAATCGAGTATTATTATAGGGAATCTCCTGTAGAGAAATTTTTCGATTGAAAAATATTGATATACATGGAAAACTTTGAGCGCTTTGAGCGACCTCTAAATATTTTTTATTTCGAAATAATAAAATAGAGGCATATTTTTTCGGTATAGAACACTCCTAGGCGGTGAGAGCATTAAAATTCCGACCTTACTTATTCCCATGCTTTTTTTGGGCCACCCTAATGTACATACCTATGTACGTATATAAGTAGTTAGGGAATGGGCAGGCGGATGGCGTGGTGTGGCGTGATCTATGTAGACATTCGCAGACGTGCAACGCACTTGAAAATCGCGTGTAGACAGTGACTACTACCGCCGACGACGGCGACGCCCCAAACAAGAATGAATGTATTTACTTTTTTTTGTTGCTTTCATATGTCAATTTTCCGATTTTCAACTTATTTTTTTTGCTGTTGATAGCGACCTTTTTGCAGTTGAGCTGACTGTTGAAAGACGAATGTGAACTGACGGTGCCTTGCGAGATTGTTGCATGCAATTGTTGAGTAGCAGCTAAAAAAGTGCAACAAAAAAAAAAAATAAAAAATAAAAAAACAACGACGGCAGCAAATGCCAATAACAAGGCTGCCAAAGCAGAGAAGGGCAGCAATGCCACAAAAGGTGGAGGGGCGACAGCAGTGCTCTAAAGTATTTCCGAAGCGCAAGTGGAAGACAAACAAAGGCCAGCTGCGGGCACTTGCCAACGAAAATTGGGAAAATATGTACATACATGTAACTGTCACAAAGCACAAATTTGCCAATGTGTAACATACTTCAAGGCGCAGTAGCTTTTTTTGTGCATGATTTATGTATGTTTTTTGCTTTTTTGAAAAATCATTGCAATGTAATTATTATACAGCAAAAAGTGAGCAAAGTTGCCAGTCAAACATGGCGAAAAAGAAAACAAAAATGAACTTAAATGGTTGCGGCCACATGCAAGCTGCCTTTTCGTTGAACAAAAAAAAAAAAAAAATTTTTGAAAAAAAAAACAAAATAAAAAATACTCAACGTTGTCTATCAAAGAGCTAAATACATTTTAGTGCCAAAGTAGGCGTAACTTGTTTCCGCAGTGATGACACAGAAAAAGGCATTTAGCATACGGCTAGAAATTTTATTACATCGACTGGGCTGATTTTTTTTTATGGCAAAGGAGTGTAGTGCTTACACCTTTCAGACAACACCATACTCCCCCAGAAAATTATGCAACACTGCAAAACATATGTCAGCACTGAGCGCTAATACGCGTGAAAAGCAAAAATCGGAATCGCTGACGGTGTGCGGCATGTGGTGGCATTTATTATATAAAATTTTTGGGTTTAAATTCTTCCGAGAAGGGGTTGTTGTTAGTGCAGCGTGCTGTATTTACCCTTTTAGGGATGCCTAAACTTCAGTTATGCATATGTGAGCATGTGTGCTGTTATGAAATTTTTATTTGGAGTGGGTCAACTTGAGCTGGGCCCGGAAATTATATTTGGGTGTGCAACATTTCATATGCAAATTAATAACGATAAAATGCTTTTCTATACTTTTTTTAACGACATATGTACATACATGCCTCGTATCTAGTTACGTAAGTACGTATGTTTGAATATATGAATGTACATATGTACGTATGCTGACGATTACACCGGATTCTACTAACAAATGAATGCAAATACAGGAAGTGACTGATTAAGGTTTAGCGCCGGTAAGACAAATTAAAAACAAGCTCTGGTTAAGAAAAAATCATTCCAGAAACTTTATTAAAAATTTAAAAAGATGTGCACTTAAGCGGATTACGCAATTAAGCATAACGTACGCATAAGCGTGTCCTAAACTGTAATAAGCAGGACATGGAAGAAAATAACTAATGTTGCACTTAAGCGGGTTGCGCAATTAGGCAATACGTGCATTTATGCAGGTAGTGCACTTAAACCAGCTAAACGTTTCAATAGTATATGCGGATAAATATACTATTTTTTAACTAAATTAACCTTAGCAATATATTCTCATTTAAAAATCGCTTAGGCGTTTGCAGAGCCAAAGAAGAAGAATATATTCGCATTTAAGCAGATTGTGCAACTAAGGAAATGTTACTTAGGCGCGTAATGAACTTTTTCAAACCATACTTACATACAAAAAAGTAGATACTTGCGTGGTATGCAAAAAACAATTGGTGAAAATTGTATAATTTTAATGTAATTTGCAGTTTTGAAGTTAAAATCCCGTAAAAGTTTGCATTTAAACGGAATGTGCAGTTATTGAGTAGACTACTTAAAGTCTTAGATAAATGAATATATTAGTAACGGAAAGATGAAATGAAGTGAAGTATTTCGTAAAAAGTGTACTCCTATATTTGAATGGGATGCCCATCATTTAAGAAAAATTTCCGAATGACGCAATTAAGCCGAAAAATAAAAAA